TAACTGAACGAGCCTTACCGACAAACATCTTGACGTCATTGACGCTGAAGTCAGGATCTGGCATCCTGCAGAACCAGAGGACACAACATCATTACATCAGCTCAGTTTATAGACGTATTTAATAACACTGAAGTTACACAGGGGCCTACTTGATTCCCAGTCCATCAGGCTTCTCAAAAACGACGGGGTCCCTCAGACCACCTCTCTGAATGAATGCGTATGTAAAGTCTGCAGAGAAATATACAAGCGTCATTCAACACAGGACTATAATCCATAGGACAAGAAGTACTGTCCTATGGATAATTAGGAGAGTACTGTTGTTTCTTATATTAGGCCAGCTTCCATCCTTCCACCAGATAAACCTCCACAACGCCAGATTGACACGAGTTTATTTCTACGCTCTGTGACTGGTGTGTTAGGTTTCTTGGGATTTGCAGATTTCACGGGAGGTGATGTCAGAGTGCATGCAGCTGACCTTTTACAGTCACATGTATGAGCACAGCTCATGACATCACAGTGAACACCGTGTGCACTGTCCAGGGTCCTGAAAGCACATCTTTGTGTGGCATCCTAATAAACTGGCATATCTCACTCTTCAAGCACGATCTCTCAAATTTCTGTGACACCACCTCAGTGCAGCAACGACTGCTGCTTTATAAGACATGTTTCTTCATTTAATATTCCCTCGCTATAAGATTCTAAGAAGCAAAGAAAAAGCGTCAGGCTCTGAAAATAAAGCTCAGACGCAAAGACTCAAAGCTTAAACCCATATAAGAAACACAAAGACACTATACCTACGAATACAGTGTGTTTGTACACGTCCAGCCATCTCTCTCACACACACAACAATAAAAGTCATTTGGTTTGATTTGACAAGGGAGTGGCCTAGTTTATATTGCGAGGATCGAACCAATCTGCAACAACAGGTATGTGACGAGCCGAACAACGCACCTGGTAAGAGCTTAACAGTGCACAGACTCTGCAGACGGGATCGTTTCTGCCCAACTGCAGGGTCCCCTAGTGTAGCTGCTACGGGCAAAAATTATGGGTAGTGTCATCTGTAGCGCTTTTACCATGTGATACGACCTTGACCCAGTTAATCAGCTGATGTCTACTGTCACACAAACGCTGAACGTAATATGTTGATGTGGGTGTGGCTGTTGGACTGCTGGACGGACAGAACCAGGACACACTCCCTCCCTTTGGGAGAGAACGATGGAGACAGTGTTCACACCAACCTTTTCCATCCATGCGAAGCACTCGGTCAGAGCTGAACCTCTCACTGTTAACCTTCTCCTCCAGGTCAAACATCCTCCTCCCATCAATCTCCTCATCTGAGATGCCATCATCATGGTAACGCTGCTGGTTACGAGCACGCTAGAGAGGAGAACAGAGTAAGAGGGATGGTAAAAGACAGAGGACTGAAGTGCTTTGGATGGACATTAACCCAAACTGGACAGTCCTTCTTATCAAACCAACCGCAAAAGAAAAAGTCCAAAGTGGAGCTTCACAGAGTGGCAGCTAAAAGGATAATAGGTAACCATTTCTACAGCCTCGTGCCAAATATCTGAAAACTAATTATGGTTCATGAGCATTAGGTTCTGTAGGGAAGCTTCTCAGCACTGCCAAGTGTTCACTCACAGGGATCACCTCTGTCGTATCGTAGGCCTGACAGCAGCTACTGAGTACTGAATGGGTATAAATGAAATGGCTTGAATGACAGTCCACGTTAGGGCCCACCTCAATTCTTTGACCAAGAAGATGAAACGGCTTCATCGTGAAGCATCAGGAACTATAAATCAGCACTTTAATAGATTCATTGTCCTCAAAACGATCCGACTTTGGCCCGAGGCTGCAGCCTCCCACAGGAGACACCGAGAGGACACCAGCGCACCACGGGGCCGACACACGGAGACAAGTACACACAGAACTTAATCGGATTCACGTGCACAGGTGTGAACTCCAGCAAAGGGAGGAAGAGGCATGTGTGATCATCATCATCATGTTAGTCCAGGATCGAGACTGCAACTGATCATCACATTGTTGTGATTAGGGCTGTGCCATATCGTACCGTTCACGGGAATACCGGTGTAATGTTGGGCAATAATAAGAAAATGAAATATGGCGATAGAATATGGGTAAAACGCGCATGCGCAGTGCCTTTGTTTACATACGCACATGGAGGAACAATCATGGCAGCGACGGAGAACGACAAGAGCGAAAGTGGATCGTTGAATGAAACGAACCAGAACTGGTTTGTAAAAATGCTGCAGCTTCAGTGGTGTGGAACTGGTTTAGCTTTCGTCCGTCAGATACACAACAAAGCACTGTTTTTGGTAGCGCATGCTAGCGGGCCGTCGTTATTACCGAACACGGCGCTCAAGAACCTATCAAAGTACGACTTTGCTGAACTATGAAGCCGCACCACTGGATGGATTGTCTTGCTGACAGATTGGTTAAACTGTCAGCAACGAATTTGCACTGTTACATTTTTATAAACTTTAATGTGCATACAAACAAACAAACAAACAAACAAACAGCTGCTTGTTTAAGTGAAAATACATTGATTTTTTTTGCACTAATAAGTTGAGATGTAAAGTATTTTGTCTCGTGTCAATTATATCGTCAGTTATTTTGTTATCGCAAATGTTTAATATATATGGTGATAAGTATTTTGGCCATATTGCCCTGCCCCAGTTGTGATGTATAGTTGTTTATAGCAGAGTCTTCTGGAGCAAACCACGAGCTCTAAGTGTTAATAAACAAGTTATCAACATAAATTAACAGCCAACTTATTTCACTCATGCTGGTTTGCTAGTGTTACTCTTTTTAAGCACCTGCTGACTTCTTTTATAATGCTAACTGAAAGCTCAGGCGACGTCATTGGCTGGCTGCAACATTTATCCTGGCCCTGCATCATTATTTTGATGATGTCAAACAGATACTTGGGGTACAGACTGATAACACACGTACACTGAACCCGCGTGTGAAACGTGCGTCCATCACAGTCTTCATGTTCCTCAGGACTCTTACCTTATTAGGTCCTTTTTAAAGAAAATAAACCTGGAGTTGAAAATGATGGGGAAAGGCGCTGGGTGCCATCTTATCCTAACCCCTCATACTAACATACACACACCCTTCATTAACTGATGCCTCAGGCACAGATTCATTAGTACTTTTGGCTGTTGGTCATTATAAGTCATTCAGCATTTTCCTTTGTATAATGTACAAGTACTAAAAGGTTAACTATAGAGTTTCCCTCAATTACCTCCTTATTAGCTGCATTTTCACAGTAAATAACAAAGTTCTGTATATGAATTTGCCTACGATTTCAAAACACTTCTAAGGAACATGAACAGTAAGTCTGCAGGTACACAAAACTGCAAGCAGCAGGCGTGTCTGTTTACTCACAAACAGACACACTTGAGAAAAAAATTTGGACATGAAAGCAAAGTGCTGGTTATCACCACTCCACACCTGCCCGGTAGCAACTGCCATGTGTTGGCCAGAGAGAGGACCACTGTGTTTATTTGGTAGATCAATGAAAGGACTCAGTTACTTGAGAGGGAGTTGCCCACAGCTCTCTTCAGTTTGACACCCTGCTCTACAGCATATCTTCCAACAATACCACCCGCTGTGCTTCACCCTCACGGACCCGGCGCATACTGTGATGCAGCTTTGTCAGATATGGTACTGCACAAGACGCACGTGAACCTGAAGCTCAGAGATAAAGTTGCAGTGATTTGACCGAAGGCAGACACTGAGCGTTGAGACTGCTCTGCGTCCCTGCATCCTGCAGTGGTCTCCCGCTGTAACAGAAAACAGGGCTCAGGCTGAGGTAGCAGAACCAGCGTGTTGGAATCTGCCCGACACTTACCAGTCTTTTGCTGCAGCGCGGTTTGGAATCATCCATTTTCATTCATGGAACCAAAGGCGGGTCCGGAGTGCCACTACAGACACCAGTGGGCAGCGATGGTCCCACAGGAGCCGTCACTGTGCTGTCCTGGCAGGGCTCGCTGCCTACCTCTAATTCACCGACTTCTTACAATTTAGTCGCATACAGAGCCGGACTCGCTGGCGTTTAGAAAATCCGACAGGACGGTTTAATGTTCGAGCTTCTTTATCTGGTTTTTAACAGCCTCTCTAGCTTACGTAGCTGCCCTGTCACTACCCTACAGAGACAAAACGACATGACTCCGGAACGGCTATCAACATTTAAAAAAACAACAAGAAGCTGGCACTATTACTTGCTTTAGTCCTAGCATGGTAATAAAGTTAGTTCCTTCTCCGAACAGCCGCCATTTTCACTATACCCCGCCCACAAACGGACACTGGACCATTCACACTCATGCCCACGACCCTTTCATTGGACTACAGCTGTGCCACTCACGCGAAAGAGCTGTAATTTCTGATTGGATATGGCCAGCCAATCAACATATAAAGAAATTGGGAAGCAACCAATAACAGCACACTTCCAAAACAAACTCACATCTAATTGGTTGATATAGTCAAAACAGGTCGACTAGTGGACAAACGCGTAATCAGTCATAAGAACTAGCCAATCGCGCTAACAGTTATCGTGCTAACAGTTATCACAATAACCACCGTCTATCACTCAATACAACTAGTCATTACTTTCAAATAACACGATTACACAAAAATAATGCGTTTTAAATGCCTACCCCCATCGCAGCGGAGATCCGTCCACTTACAAACACCCGCCGTAATCGGAGACGTATTACGCCCTCTGTGGCCTGTTTTCTTCTCTCAGAGGCACACGGCGGACGGACACGTTTTGTAGCCTTCAACCCAACAAGGAAGTGCCCGCCGCCCCATAAATGGAAGTGCACTTTGAACAGCTTACTGTTGATTGGCTGGAGAATGTTGCGTAGCGCTCGTGATTGGTGGCAGGGACTGTTTGTCAAACGCGTACAGCTTGAGTACGGCGAGCGAGAGGAAAACGTCGGCAAACGCTATGGTGAAATAAAATGGAAGTGTAGTAACTGACAGATTGACTTTTATTCAAAAAGTGAAGAAAACTACAAACGATGCACTTTTACAAATAGTTCGCCGTGCTCAGAGCCACGGCCTTCAGTCAGCAGCAGACACAAACACACAGCGTGTACAAAGAAGCTAACGATGAAGCGCTGGAAGCATCGGCAGACCAGACCTTACAGCGTGTCCCTGTGAATGCACACCTCAGTCCCCGGAATTTGATATTTAGCGGTCCTAGGATCAAATTTGAACATGAATAAAATCTGTGATAGTTCATTGTCACACAACAGCTGCCTGTCGATAATCGATGACCTCTCCCGGCAGGACAAATCTTCCAGGTTATTTTTCTGAACACACTGCGCAACTAAATAGTCTGCCATCAGTTTGTTCAGACGCCTCAGAAAACTTCCAATTGGAATTTTATTGGAATACACATTTTCAAAAATATTGATATAGGAGAGCAGGCTCTCAGTTCACGAGTGGGCTGTACTGCATCCAACACCACAGTGTGGGTCAGAGCAAGTGCCAGAATAACAAGCATAAAAACAGACACACAAGCACATTATACAAACATGAGAGTTCAGTCGTAATAAACACAAATAACAACGATCTAAACCAAATACCTGAATCATCAAATGATTTGTATTTCTAATCTTACACATTTAAAATGAACATCAATTCCTGAGTCACACTATCTAAGATGAGCCATTTTTAATCACTTCAAGGTTAAAAGCTCACTACGTGGATTTTTACTGTGAATCCTAAAGGCCTCTCGATGGGCCTGCTGTGGACACGGGGCAGGATGCAGTCTACAGCACAGGTGTGTCAGGTACCAGCACCTGCTGTAATCACTCTAATATTAATGGACACCCTCTGCTGTTTATTCCTTACACAGCAACACAACAGCTAATCTTCCTAATAAAAGCTTTTCATGGCTGCATTATTCAAAAGTTGTTTACAAATCAGGTGCACTTTCCTGAATATGGATATGATAAGTGGACAAATCAGTGAATGAAAATGAAATGGAGCATGCTAGCAGTCACACTCAGTAATTCACAGGCTTGGCCCTGATTGTTGGTGACCTTTCATGCTGCACATTTTCAAATTCCAAGTTTGGTTCTGAAAAATCGCTCCACAGCAGATCAACTGCAGCAGGGTTAGGGTAAGACGTATCACACACATTTGCACTGAGCACAGCTAAGTAATGATGAGCTGATGCTAACACATTAAACATGCATGTAGCCCTATGATGTGGACATTCTTGGTGGGATTATTAACGTGTCGGTCGCTGCACTGAAAGGTCTCCAGCTTTTCTTTTCTGTTTTGTGCACACAGTCATATTCAGTTTGTTATTGGACAGGTTAGGGACACAGACTGGAGCGAGGCCATGAAGAAGAAAGCTATCGTCATGTTTTTCTGATTGAACTGATCATAAATGTGGCGCTTTGTTCCTGATATGTAATGAAATTAGAGCAAACTGAGTGTCCTGCGGCCTCCCGTGGCCTCAGATGGTGGGAGACTTTCTTCATTAGGGTCTCTATTTGATGAAGCTGTAGACAAATGAACCCAGGACGACAGCCAAAATCACGCAGCAGCAGAAGATCATCATTTGTTTCTGGAGAGACAAGTTGGTTCGGGGGGGAGGGGTCAGAGACAGAAGGTGGTGTTAAACAAGATGACTCCCGGTCAGGCCGAGCAAGACTAAAGCACACCCTACATCTACAGCCCAGGCCCCCAGGGTCTGAACAGGCCCCTAAAGTGCCCAAAACACAACAGTCTCAAAGTGACCGGAGCACACAAGCCAGTGAGGTTTAACCCGTTTGCTTCACAAAAAGACATTTTTCCCCAGAAGGATCTGAACGTGGCTGCACCACGCTGTAGCACGCTGTAACATGCTGCACCACGCTGTAGCACGCTGTAGCACGCTGTAACACGCTGTAGCACGCTGTAACACGCTGTAGCACGCTGTGACACGCTGTAGCACGCTGTAGCACGCTGTAGCACGCTGTGACACGCTGTAGCACGCTGTAACACGCTGTAGCACGCTGTAGCACGCTGTAACACGCTGTAACACGCTGTAGCACGCTGTAACACGCTGTAGCACGCTGTAGCACGCTGTGACACGCTGTGACACGCTGTAGCACGCTGTAACACGCTGTAACACGCTGTAGCACGCTGTAACACGCTGTAACACGCTGTAGCACGCTGTGACACGCTGTGACACGCTGTAGCACGCTGTAACACGCTGCACCACGCTGTAGCACGCTGTAACACGCTGTAGCACGCTGTGACATGCTGTAGCAGGAACATGGCTCAGATGGTAAGCTACTCAGAGACGCACTGCAGCAGGAACAGCAGCAGGTGTTTCTTACTCACGGGTACAGTCAGCGTGTGCAACTTCAGCATCTAACCTTCACTAGTGGTTTGTCTGCTCGAGGATAGGCCGATGCCATCGTTACAGGAAACACTGACCCAGAGCACTAACGCATTGCCACAGTCCCTCTCTCCTCTCTGCACTCACCCTGCGGGCCTCCTGCTGGTATTTGGCAGCCTTCTTGGTGTCGGCCACGGCTCTCTCGACAAAGCCCACCGACTGGTCCATGTTGCTTTCGATTCTGTCAATCATCCCACCCTAGCAGGGCACACAACACGAGAGACAACACAAAGTTAATGAAAGTAAGATTTGTGCCTGTCTGCTGTTTACACAGGAAGTGGGAGCGTACCCCACTGTGTCAGAAACACATGACTTTTCTTATCGGCTGCACACTGAAGCTTCAGTCATGAAAGGACTTAGTCACAGTTAAACAAGCTCTGTGCAAGATGGGCTTTTTGGGGAAACAGGGCGAGTTACTGTTGAAAAGCTTTAAAAGAATAACTTGTGCTGTGCACGACTCTATGTACAGTAGAACTAAACAGGGCTACTATTCAGTTTCACAAACCATGCAAGTCAGCAGAAAGTGGAAGAAGGAGAAGCAAGCCTTCATGTTTTATAACACGGCTAAAATGGAAGAAGTGCAGCTCAGAGGGTGAGAATAGTTTGTTAATCGAGAACTGTGAATGCTCGAGAATACTTTGGGCTGCAGGATCTCACAAACCTGGTTCTCAACCAGCATGGCAATATCAACAAACATGTCGTGGAGTTCTTTAATGCTGCTCTCCAGCCTCATGATGTCTTTGTGACGAGCCTCGATCTCATTCAGGGCCTGCTGGTTGATCTTAGAGTCCATGATCTGTGGGGGAGGGAGTGTGAGGTGACCAGAGACACACAACTTAAAAGAATACACCACAAACAAGTGGATGTTCACAAACAGAGGGTCTGCTAGTGCCAAACTACAGGTTAAAACAAATCACATCTGCCTGTAAGTCCAGCTAACATCTCCCAGTTTGCTGTAACGACACTAAATAGTAAGAAACGTGCCTACATAACAAACACACACCGAGACAAGCAGAGAATCACTGCATTTGAAAAGCCGAGAATTTAATGGAGACATGTTGATGAGGAATGACTGCACTGCCTATCAAATACATAACAATTTGTTTTCTGTTGATTAGCTGACTTAATTATTTCTCCTTATAATTAAAAATAGTTGTGAAATGAAAGTTGTGCTGACCCGTGTGCTAGAACAGTCTACAGCTCCAAATCACAACAACGGTCACCTCAAGGTGCTTTAAAGTAGATCCCTACAGACAGAAAACTGCCACAGTCATGTGACCCCTATGAGCAGCACTTGGCGACAGTGGGAAGGAAAAACTCCCTTTTAACAGGAAGAAACCTCCAGCAGAACCAGGCTCAGGGGGTGAGGGGACATTTCCCTGACAAGTTTTCATGTAACACACAGAGAGAATTCACATGGAGATGTCATTAAATGACAGTGGAGCGGAGATCACAGTGACACCATCAAACACAAACCAGCAGGACAATAGTTCCTGGTTTATAACAGCCTCTGCGCTCCACAACCCACTAAGAGTTCATGCCTCTGGCCAAAGACGCTGGTTTGCTGCAGGTGTTTGTGTGCGCATGCATGCACATGCAGGCTTACCCCTGCTGTGAAGACTGCAGAGTTTCCTCCCTCCAGCATCTCATCCAACTCTTCATCAGTCGTTGTTTTTCCAGCTGAACAGATCACAGAGACAAGAACTTGTTCATGCACCAGCCAGTAGAAACATGACTGTACACACAACAGCATGTGATTACACTGACAATACTACGAGGTGCCTGTTGTATTAATACTTTGATTGATGTAAAAGGTGGTTGTTAACCTTTAGGGCTGATGTGACACAGTAAAACCATAAAACACCACGTTGGCTATTTTTATGGTAAATGGTAAATGGCCTGTATTTATACAGCGCTTTACTCGTCCCTAAGGACCCCAAAGCGCTTTACATATCCAGTCATCCACCCATTCACACACACGGCTCTTTCTGTCAGATATTTGTCATTTTATTTAAAAACTAAAACATGTATCTGAGCACAGTACACAACAATAAGTTGGCACATAAATATGTTTAAAGCGTAGCAGCTGTCAGTGCTTAAAGAAAGTCGAATTCTCTTTAGTCTGACGGCCTGAACCTGATAAAACCTACGATAGAGGACAGGAGACGGCAGCGTTAGCACTGTGACTAGGGTCCAGGGGAACGACTGTGAGGTTTTAAGGAGCATTTAGATCATTTATGCTGTGAATCTCTTCACATATTGTAAAAAAAAAGGGAAATATAAAGGATCCCGAAGCTGTGGTTTCCTCCACATCAAGCTTAAACGTAACCATATCATCAGCAGCTGGCACTCACTGATCTCCAGCTGGCGGGCGATCCGTCCCTTGCTCTTGTCTCTGAAGTCCACCTGAGCCTCGTTGTACTTTGTCATCACCTCTACAAACTTTTTGGCCAGAATGGCGTGCTGGGGGAGACAAGAACACAGACACTCCAATGACAGGCTCTCACACACACGGTGGGCGAGCTTCACAGTCGAGCCTGAGGACAGAGGACTGCACCGACACTGAATGTAAAAGGATGTGTGTGTGTGTGTGTGTGTGTGGAGCCTGCTACACTCGGTGGATCTGAACGTGACGTGTGGATGTTTAAGGCATCACAAGAGAAACAGCAGCGTGCTGCGCTCTGTCTGTGTGGTCGGGTCGGGTGAATCAGAGCTACTGTACGACTGCCTGACCTGTGACTTGCGTATCCTGAGGTCGGCCGAGGCCCTCTCGTCGGCGTTTGACTCCAGCTGGCGCTCGATACCTGACGCACACACGGACAATGTTCACCACTGCTTTTACTCACACATGTAAACAACACATTAGGCGTGCCACAGAGACACATTCTGATCACACGTATGTTTGTACAAACGGGAACCAGACAGTGTGCCGGAGAAGGAAACCAAACCAATACCGACTCTTCAGTTTGTTTCTTGCATTGTTGGCCGACTTTTTAATCTCATTGGTGAGAGCCTCGACATCATCCTGTGTTTCTGCAAGAGGTGGAAATGGAGCGTCACGCACACACACTGAGAATCACAGGCAGCACATTTGAACACGTTATCTGCATTACTCTGGTCGGAGGTCGGGGCAGACAGGATGGTGGAGTAGAGTTTTTTGATTTCTGTAACACTCTCGTCAATCTTGTCAATACTGCTGCGGATGTCTTCAATCTGACAGACGCACACACACGGAGGCATCAAAGAGTAGAAATGCATTTTGTGTTATGATGCATGTAAAGTGGAGCAGACAGACACACTGCATACCTGAGCAAAGAAATCATCCATGAAAGCCTCACTCTCCACAGGAACCTCAATATCATCACCACCTGCATCGCTCTTCTGTTACACACACACACACACACACACACACACTATTAACTGACGTTTTCTGTCTCTGTGATAAGACAAGAACATTTGTACTGAGCCTGAAACGACTTCCTGTGTGTGAGTCACATGACACCAGCTGCACTTTGAATCGGTGCCTGACACGTCTAAAATAAACGATGATTAATTGTCGTTTGTGTGATTAGCAGCTCCTCACATTAAAGAAAGATTGATGAGGACTTACTGATTTCACTATAAATTCAGTCAGAATATAAAAGAATGAGAAGAAAGCAGTTCCTGTATCTTTTGGAAACATGACTTTGAGTTTCACGTCTGCGGCTAACATCTCTGACATTCAGTTGAGCTCCACAGTGGGGCAGTCGCCTCGCACCATGACATCTATAGTACAGACTAGTCAGGCCCCGTGCGAACAACGCAGGCGCCATCGACGAGAAGGCAAACAGCGGCACAGTCCTGCTTACCTCCTTCAGCTGAGCCAGGCGGTCTTTCATCTTCAGAAGTCTTGGTTGAATTAAAGAAACACAAAGAAAGAAACAGCTAGTGTGTAGCTGGAGTGTGGCAGGTGTGCTCTCTGAGGTCCACAGAGCTGCTGCCTCTACGCCTGCCCACAGAAACGTTTGCTTCAATGAATCCGCAGAACTAAGAAGAGAACAGACTTCTGAGGGTGAAATAACTCATGCGTGCAAACCAATGAATGCCTTGCTCGTGTGGATGGTTGTGTCTGAGACAAGTTGTGATCAACCTAACCTGAGGTCCCACTAAGCCTCTATCCCCTAAGAGCGGATTAGGACGACAGTGTTGACCACGATAAACCTCTTCCTGGTCCCTCCTCCCACACGGCAGCCTGTGGATTTTCTCTTTGGAAAGGAGAGCAGAAGTTGGCCTTTGTCTTAGGATGTGTTACTACTGTGTCTTATTATTTGTATAGATAAGAAAGCACCATGAATAAGGATGACGTCTGCGGCGGGGGGCTGAGTGATAAGAGCAGGCAGCAGTCTCCTGTGACCTGCTGTCCCTCGGATGCACGAACGAGCCAGTCCCAGCAGCAGAGTTGTCCCAGCCCTGACCCACCTCACAGCACCGTGAAGCACGTGTTCAGCGGTGGAGGAAGGGGCACGCTCCCCACCCAGCACTCCATCATAGGCCAGGCTGCCCAGCCTGCTCCACCAGGTCCCTGCTTCGTCACTGCCAGGACAACCCCACCCTCATGGAGGATGACTGTCCCCGACTCTGAAGCAGGGACTGCTTGGACCCAAAATGCTCATTTAAGCCATTTGTTCCACGTCTGTAACAAATGAGTTTATTCCCATGTCACAGATGGCAGTACGACTCTTTCACCACACCGATCCTGCAGCGCATTTATCGTTATTTGGTGCTTTGATTACAACATTTCCACGTTTGTGTTGAAGCTACAAAACAACCATAACTAGAGCTGTTTACTTATTATTTACCCATCACAAGAACAATAGAACATTTGTGACGTGGAGGAAAAACTCTCAGTACGTGAATGTTGTCTGTGAAACAGTCAAGAGGTGCAGGTCCCATCTGTTCCTGTGCAAATGATTCAAAGGAGCCTACGCTGATTAAAAAATGAACACAAATGACAGGCTGGGACTGCAGCAGATCAGACATCCTGAAAGTGTCCACGCTACCTGCACCTTTTCCTCCACAGCTGGATTTGAGCCTGGGAGACTCAGGAGCAGACCTTACATTTACATCAGTCCAGCACCATTCATCATCTTCATCTGTTTCTTTGTTAACGCTGCAGGTAGCTCAGACGATGCAGGCTCAACATCCCCATTTTTAAATATAGTTAAAGTACAAGTAGACATGCACCAGTCCAACCAGAACCAAGGCCCTACTTCCAGCACGACTCTGACTGTGTGACGCGACGTCATGCTCAAACTTGTTTTTTTACTTGGTGAAAAGAAAAAGGAGCGCATGTTTTTGAAAAGTTATTTATTAGTGGAATGACTGAAAACAGGCCTGAGATTAGGAGTCCATCACCTGATCGATGTGTCAGCTTGTCCTGCACCTCCTCCTGATTCACTGCAGCTGAAGTGCAACTACATTCAGTGAGAAGAAAACGCCTCTGTGATCTGACAGGACCACACGTAGAGGAGCCAGAGCCAGTCGATGCAGCTGCTGGTGTAACGAGCGCCTCCACCAGCTGCTGCTCGCAGGGCAAATCTAACAGAAGTTGGGGTGAGGCATTGGGCTCTGGGAGAGCACTGTGTTTAGGGAGAGGCACGGTGGAAGAGGAGAAAGTGTTTTTCATTAAACTTCATCCAAATATGTGGGCGTATCTGGGAGGGAGCTGCATCCAATCAACTCGTCTACGAGCTCGATCTGCTCCCGCTCAGCAGTCTGTTGGGAATGTGCCGTGCTTTCTGTGAATTTGAAGAACGATCCTAAATGCAGAGATCCTCGGGCGACTGTCGTTTGACTTGGCTGTCAGAAGATTCTCTCCGTCACTCTTCTGTCCTCGTCCACCTCTCCATCTCCCTCAGCCGTCTCTCCAGGATCTTCACCTGCTTCTCGAGGCGAGCAGTTTGATTAGCCGCACTGGAACTTCCCCGAGTCCCGACGTTCAGCAGGACGCAGACACACAGCAGGACAGCCAGTCGGATGGCCATTGCCTCCGTGCCCACGTTGTAGTCGCTCAGGATGAGCACAAAACAGGTTAAAGCGACTCCGACTTTCAGAAACCACAGGCGCACATCAGAGTGGAGGCAACCAATCGGAAGGCAAGAGAAATCAGCCAGTAGCAGATGAGAGCTGCGAGGACCCACTGAATGACGAAGATCAGGCCCTCTGGGGTCACTTTGTTGGTAGGAAGGCTAACTGTGGAAAAAGCACCAGAAATTACATTTCATACAAAGCTGCTCATTTCCACTGACACTCTTACTGCGACGCTACAGATGGGAGCTATCACCGGGTTCTCATTGGCTCTGCTGCGAGAGGCTCCACCATCTCTGACTGCATACCAAAGACATTACATCATGCAGATGAACTACACGCTGTCTGGTCAAATGTTTGTGCACGCTGAAAGTGTTTCCTCTCCTTGTTGGAGTTATTACTCTACAAAGTTACGTGTTACACTAATTTCACATTACTCCTTTCCTGAAACTCACGGTCTCATTTAACAACATAAACCCAGCTGCTGGTTTGCAGGACGCACACGTGTGATCTGTGTCGGCGTATTCAGGTCTGAGCACAGAGCAAACATGTTAGCATGCTGTCTGTGCAGCTGATGCTGTCAGCAGCAGAATGCAGCTGCTTGTGTCCAGTTTACTTTACCATCACGCTCTTGTCCTTGTGCAGTAATAATAAAAGTAACATCCATGCTCACGCTGCAGACTGAGCCATTATTTTCCTCCTCCTGCACACCAACTGAAATCAGCTGATTGGAGAACCAATAACCAGGATCAATAGGCAGGCAGAATAACAGTGCCAGCGAGTTAAACTACTGGCATGAACCAGCTCTTGTACGGAGTCGCTTATATTGAGATTCTCGCCTCTATGTGAAGCGCAGCAAGCTTCAGTTCGATTCTAATAAAGTCATTCAGCTGATCCATCCAACAGATACAGGTCCAAGGCTCCATGGATCTCTGATTAAAAGGTTTATGCTCAGCAGGTTAAGCACCTACCAAACATTTTATCCAAAAGGGGAGTCAAGGCTGGAAAAACAACTTTGCCCACAGTCTCTGGCTTTGATGGCACCACAAGGTGGCAGCACCCACTTCTGCTATATTTGAACTGGTCTTGAGTGCAGCCCAGAAACAAACGATGCTCACCTTGGATCCCAGAGGCCTGCAGTAACTGGGAGACGTAGTGCAGCAGACATTGAGAGCACCGGCCACGCTGCCTGCAACCACAGCTAGACCTGAGAGAAAGGCTGCAGAGGCAGGTTTGTTTCAGACAACAGTGAGGGTAAGAACACAGAGAAACGGCCAAAGTTCACTGATGTGACTGTCAGCGAGAGCGAACAGTCCCTAAACTGCTTATGTCGAATTATTATGGTTTCTAATCAGGGCTAGTGTGGTGATAAAACCTGATCGTGTACACACAAGTTCAAAACTGGATGCCGAGAATCCGCTCCACGGAGACCGGACTACTTCCGCTTCTTACCTTCTGCACCAGCCTGCCCAGGTAGGTCGTGCCCTGCTCGGCCAAGTCAGCCAGGGTGTCCCGGACTTGCTGCATGGTCTCTGGTAGAGTCTCAAACTCCGTCTCCCCCTAAACTGAGAGCACAAAGCCCGCCAAAAACGCTTCCGTGAGCAGCTTCCGTGAGCACTGCTTCTTAATCACACTGTCTACTCCGAAGAACTACAAAGGAAACTACATCCAGCTACAAGTACACAACTTTACCGCGTCAAGTTTTTCCAGCAGGATGTGGAAAAAGTCCGTATGAATAAAGGACGTCTGCCCCCTGCTGGACGAGTGTGCAGCTGCATGCAACATGAACAGTCTTATGTACCCGACAGTACAACACAGTACTCTACAGTACAACACTACTCTATTACACATCACAGTACTCTACAACAGTACGCTACGGTACGCTGCACTGCACTGCACACGGACTGAGCTGTGGTTGTTTGTTGCCGTTGTTATCTGTGCAGGTGAGAAGTCGTTCTCTCTCATGTGTAATGTTAGGGTGCAGTTAGAGAATATTTAAATTCAATGCTCAAACAGATGGTGCAGCAGACCTCACAGGAACACTGGTAAAAACCTCTGGCAGCTGACACAGTCTAATAAAACAGTTTAAAGAAACAGGAACGAGGAAAGGGAAGTATGTGCCACTGTTGGTTCTTGTGTTCGTTCTCATGCTCTCCTTTTCTCTCTTCTCTTCTGCTCAGCCACAAACTGGTTGTGGCCCCAATAGGCCAGTTTAGACCTTTTTGGAGGGTGCCCAGACACCCCTAGATTCATCACAGCAGTAATTATCTGCAATTATAATAGCAAATAATTCGATGTGATTCTCTAGTTCAAACAATTAGTGTGTGATGTCAGTGCAAAGAAGGAGTAAGGAGGATGGAGAGAGAGACAACAGAGAGTCTGTTTAAGAGCAGGAAGAACCAGGTGAGTGTCCACTGACCTGGTCTTCCAGGTGAGTTGTTTGGTGTTTTCGAAAAACGATTTCTCAAAATAACCTGACATGCATCTCATGGGTGCATTTCAGTAGCTATGATACGAATGGTAGCATTTAAGAATGGCAGCATTAATGTTACTTGTTTGAAAAGTAACAAGCTTTAACACGTAACACACGTTTTGCCATATGGCAGTAAAAATAACACAGAACGTATTCAGTGATATTGTAATAAGTAAGTAAAATTTATTTATAAGCACATTTCTAGATAAAAGATCACAAGTGCTGCACAAGGTAATAAACAAAAACAGTCAAAAGTTAACAAAATGCAATTTTAAAAAGATGTTTTTAGCTGTTTTTAAAAGTAATTCACTGAGTCTGCAGATCTTAAGTTCTGAGGAAGAGATCCACAGTCTGGCAGCCACAGTGGCAAAAGCTCTGTCACCCTTGGTTTTCAGTCTTGTATACTGAATAACAAGTAGGCCCTGATCACAAGACCTCAGGGACCTGCTAGGGCATAGGGCTGTAAAAGTTCAATGGTGTAGGCTGGTGCTTGTTCTTGAAGAGCCTTAAAGGTCAGAACCAGTCTTAAGATGGACTCTGAATTCAACGGGGCCAGTGCAGCGTATAAGCAACGGTGTTACATGAGAGTATTTAGATGTTTTGTCAGAAGCCTTGCTGCAGCATTTGGACATCTGCAGACGCTCCAGGGAGTTTTTGTTTAGACATGTAAACAGTGAATTACAGTAGTTCAATCGTGATGAAATGAATGCATGAATAACAATCTCCAGTTCAGTATGAGACACTGTAGGGCTCAATTTAGTAATGCTTCTTAAATGATAGAAGCAGGACCGAACCAGAGATTT